AATTGTAATTTCCCAAATGACAATAACAAAAATAATTTAGTAAAAACATTACTAAATTCTACTATAAAATATAAAAAATATCAATCAAAATTGATTAAATAATTATTATATTTTTACCACTGTAAATAAATGACAAGATCATTCCACTCGAAGCTAAAGGGAAATTATTGCTTACTCCTTATCATCATTCTTATATGTAATAAATCACACTGTTTTCCTCGTGAGACCACAGTTTAATTTTTTATTGGTTTATATTTAAGAATTTTTTTTTTTGGAGCCAGAGCCCACAAGTATATATTTAATTAAGTTCAAACAAATGACGAATTGTATTGTAAATGAAATGTTTATTATAAGAGATTGATTCCCAAGTTCCAACTCTTTCACCTCATGAAAAGCACATCACGCCAATGTTAGGAAAGAAACAGTACAATGGAAATGAGTAATAGTTATGCGTCATTGAGATGTAACTCAACTAATTTTTGTTAACATTCAGAACTTTCTGATTAGGCTGAGGTTCACATGCTAGGATGCTTTAAGAGACACAGTTTTTTCCCCCAATCAAAAGGATAATGATAATATCAACGATTTTGAGGAACATTTGCATAACTAATTATGCTATAAGAATTATAGAGTAAATTTCATTTTGATTTTTTTTTAAGAAAAATTAGCTTACTGCTAATTTGTCTCTTTTTAGGCTTTTTTTTTTGTTGCTTTAGTATATGATCGAAACTCTAATCATGTTCTCATTTCAATCTTACAAATACTAAACTGATGTTATATAATTCCGGTTATCAAAAAATTAATATATAAGGTTGAGTGGATTTTTCTTCTTGTTTTTTTAATAAAAGATCAATTAATTAAAATGAAAAGTCATAATACATAAAGTTTAACAAGTGTTAAAGGGAAGGGGAATTAAAGGATAAACTATCTTGAGTAGCACTAAAGGTTAGAGAAGAGAAATGACTTGTTATTTTATGAACATTGTAACACTCTAAAATTTTAAACTGAATTATTTTGTCAAATCATGAAATTACCTTAAAACTTAATTTTTCAACATTTATCATGGTGGATTAACTGAATTATTTTGTCAAATCATGAAATTACCTTAAAACTTAATTTTTCAACATTTATCATGGTGGATTAATGTCTATCATGATATTAAGAGTAACCAATACTTTTCAAAACTCTACTATGATAATAACGAGTTTATCATGATAGAAAAAACAAGAACTATTATTTTTAAAACCCTTCCACTGTAGAAAGGAGTCTACTATTTTTGGGTAACATTTATCACATTGCACAAAATATTATTCTTGCATTTGGTTTTTCTCTTAGGTATTATGCTGTCCAAAATTTTGAGCTTGTTCCTGGATTGGATTTAAGTTTTGGCACCTTGGGAGATGTTTTTTAATGCTGAATTAGGTTTAAATTAAAGGATGGAAGCGTTAATGGCATGATCTAGATTCAAACACGAAGGATATTCCATGAGCCACAAGCATAAGTTCAGCACCATCCTATTTTGAGTTATGTGTATTACGTGCTGGTTTCAAAACAATATATACTTTGATGCTGGCTACGAAATTTGGACCAGTTGCAAAGGACATGATAAGATCTAAAATGAGTCCCATTTCATTTTGAAAAAAAGCAGTATAGGAAAAGTTATTATTTTTCTAAATTGAGGCTAAGAATCTGAAAATTACTGAAAGTGACTGTAGGTAATGTGAATTTTGCTTGTGATTCTGGAAGTATGAGTTCACAAAATTGTCCATGGGATATTTTCATTTACATTTCAATTCAACATGAACACATAGACACCAGAATCATGCTCAAATGATTTTTACATAATTAGTTATGAATTTTTAAAGTTTGGGTTTGAAATCTAGAAAAAATGTTGGTTTAATCTGCAGTAGTGAGATTTTCTAAGTTATAACTTATTTTTCCATTGAAGAGAATTTCTCAAGGTTTGATTTGAGACTCAGACCATGCCTAAATGATTTTTCTAAAATTAATTATGATTTTTCAAATGAGCTTTATTTTTATAGAATTAGTTGTTGGAAGATGATTGGAGCTTTGAATTCCCCAATGATAGAAGTTATGAGTTTTGGTTATCTAAATTTATTTTAATTTAGCTATCAAGTACTTAAGTTAAGTTACAAAATTAATATATAGTATTTAATCTTATAGATTATCGTAACTTGAAACTTCTTTGAGATTGGAAAGAATTTTGGAATGCATTTTTACCGCAGGTGACCTTTTTATATAGGGCTAAAGTAATTGAATAATTTATTCTATTTATTAGCATGTTAAATTGTTTAAAGTCTTTTATAAAATATGTATGTATATGAATATGCATTGTGTGTTGTTTTTAGAAATACGTAAAGTGGGAATGAAAATAGCTTTTAGAAGAAAGAAATGTATTTTTAAAAATAATATGTGTTCATTTGGTTTTTAGTAATCTTAATTGATTAACATAATATGTGAATGTGAATGCATGATTGCATTGTGTGAAAGTTATGAAAATCTATATGATACAGACTATCACTATGGGGAATTTGATGCACTAATAATATGAGCTCATTTACCATCTAAAAGGGTATAGGTTGGAGTATACGACACCTCAATTATTCATAAAAAGAGGAATCCATAATTCAAAAGTGGTCGAAAGTGCCTTTGGTTGGGTAGTCTCCCATGGTAGGTGAGCTTGGACAAATCTAGTCATATAAGCTTAGTTCAGTATTGTTAGCCCACAAATTCAATTAGAGGTAATTGCGGAGGTTCAAGTGGATATAAATGATCATACGTGAATTAGTTAATGAAATCTCATTGTGGCATAAGCACATGTTTTAATATTATCCCACTTCATATGCTTGTCTATGGTTTGACTTGTTGGTAGATAATTTAAATTATCGTAGTTACTAAGACTCTGTTTCACCTCGTGATTATTATTTTATAAGTGATAGTACTGATTGGAGCAAGTGGAAGAAATTGGGAAAGGAGCAGTCACACTACTGCTGTTGTAGTGCCCTATTTTGTGTAATATTATATTTTTTGGTGCACTTGCATAATATGATATGTTGTTGTATTTTGGTTAAATGTATCACTTGAGGAGTTTGTGAATTGAAGCCAAAATAATAGTGTAAATACAGATGAACTTTAACTTGGATTATGTTGTGAGATAGTCATTTAGCACAGTGAATGGTGATTAAATAAGTCATGTGTAAAATGACCCCATCTTGTGTGTAGATTGGGGGTTTTGACTAGTTAAATGTTTAATGATTTATGTTATTGTTTGTACAATTGTTCGATTAAGTGTTTGTTGGATGGAGAAGCAGCGGATGGCATTTCAGCCATAGCACATGGACTTGTTTAGGGTGAAATAACCTTTTTGTCCTTTTAATTTATGTGATCTTTCTTTATATGATGCCATGCTTCCTATTTGATATTAAATGGGATTTTATATTTTTGTATGAATTCAAACGCTTCAAAAAGTGTTTTGAAATATGATCTTAATTTTAAATATGTTATAAATTTTTATAATCTTTTATTATGGTAATCTATGAGATTAAGTAATCTAATTATCATGCTAGCATGATTATGTGGATTGTTTTGGTAATGTTAAAGCATGTGTTACATTATCAAACTCCAAACTATTATCACAAGTCACAAATAAAGAGATTGGCTATGTCAGGTTTGCTGCATCCATTGTAAGATGTCCTTCTTAACAACAGAGTCCGACCAAGTTACTCTGTGGATTGATGGCAAAACTTCAGGCGTAAGCATACTTAGGCGCTTGTATTGGATTGAAGTTCCTACAGCATTTGGTGGTCACATCTTCGGTGAGGACTTGGTAGATCACCATATCTAGAGAGTCGTCCTCTTTGAGAGGGAGCTCTGTTTGGGAAGACGAAGACGAGGACGATGCCATGGTTATCAATGGGTTGTGTTTTGTGTGTTTCCAAAAACCCTACTTCTATTTTTATCTTTTTTTAATGGCATAATAACTGCTGGTGACATTTATTCCAGAGAAGCTGTGATTATCAATACCTATATGAGTCTAAGGCTATTGACATGCCTCTAAAAGATAATGACACTGACCATGGAATTCCTCGGCAACCTCATCTGGTGACTGAATCTTACCGTGATGAAAAGCAATTTTCAAATTCAAATCAAATGGAGCAATATGATGATACTTTTCAACAAAAAATCTAAAACATCAGAATATAAATGTAGAACAACGGGTCTACCAAGAAATCCCAATCTCCTCGATTTGGGAGGATTGAATTGACAATCCACCAAACCATAGTGATTTGACATAAGAACATCTACTAAAAAAATTATTCAACGATCCTGAGTTTGAACAACAACAAAAAACGTAGGAGGAATGCACACTGAGATACAAAGTAATTTATTGGATTTTTCTTTAGAAAAGTAATTGATTCAAAGTCATATTTATAACGTTTTTATAAAAGTATATTCAAAGTTCAACTTTCACAAAAACAAAAAGTAACCACCTTTTCTTCCTCGAAATTTATCGCACGCAAATTTTGTTGTTTTAAGCTTAGGCAGTTGACTATAGAGCACGTGAACATGAGAACAGAAAATAATTTTGAAAATTGATGACCTTGTTATTATTTATGAAAAGAGAGTGCTTTTTTTTTCAATAGAAGAGAGATATTTGGTCAAAAAAAAAATAGAAGAGAGATATAATTAATTAGATAGTACTTTTGTACTAAATGAGGATACTTTAGCTTTGTTTTCATTAATAAGATAAATAATTATTTTTTTATCAAGTTTTTTCACTCAACAGAAATCAAATTTCTTGAAAGAACGTCGCTGCTAGTCTCATGTCAAAAGTGACCTACTTTTTTTAATAAACCCAAACTAAAAAACAGTAAACATCACTGCACCAAGATGACAGTTTCACATACTAATAAAATAATATTTACTTGTTGATACTCAACAACATCAAACTCATTGAAGAGAGAATGTGTTTTTAGATCTGATCACAATATCAAACATGAACTTTAAAATAGTATAACAAATTTACAGAAATTCATTAAAGAGAGAATGTCTTTTCAGATCTGATCACAATACGAAACATAAACTTCAAAATTCTTATTTGATCCCTTTCTTGAGAGACAATATATAACGTTCGGTTTCTCTGAGCGTACACCGTAGCATCTAGCAGCCACCACAAATCTGAAAGATTGCATGATTTACACTGCACCGCATCAATGATTTACACTGAGATTTGATTTTCTGCCATGTAGGCTCTGCATAGCACCTTGCAGAGAATCCAAACGCTGTAACCTAAAGCTTGGTTTCAATGGAGAGAAAAGTGGGAAGAAAATTAGAAGGAGAAATTTCTAAGAACAGTAAATTTCTTTACTATTTTTAGGAGTTTTCTCTCAGTTTTCGTTCTTTATTATTTTTCTCTCCATACAAACAAAGGGTAAGTAATATTCTTATCATTCACAGCCAGCAGGAGCAAATCCAATCTTAGAATTGGATATATCATAGGCAACATCAAATGTCTGTTGCTGATAATTACCAATAATGGCAACAGGACTGGTCCCAGAGCTACCTGCAATGGCCAAACAAGTAGTTTTCTCATCAAGCTCTATCAGGGTATTGTGTCCCTTAAGTGGTAGGGCAGCCCCACCTTGAAATATCATCTGAATCTCAGGCACATTCACTATCTCTTTGGCACTTCCCTTAAAGCAAGTATCCAGAATGGATATTCCCTCAGTAGGTTTATATTTTTGTGACATGATCTTCACAAAGGCTTCTTTTAAAGCTGTATACACTGACATAGGCAGCCTTGTGATGACTGTGCCGGAGTCTATGATGGTTGGAACCTTGTAACTCGAGGCGGCGATGCCAAGTGGCTTCCCAGCCACCGTGATGGCAGTTAAGTCAAGCAAGTACAGGCTTGAAATTTTTGGATTCTTGATCATTGGAGTGAACTTGAATGGTGATTTTGCCAGTGATGAGGATCCAATGGATAAGTAGCCTCCTTTGGAAGGTTTAGTGGCAGAGAAAGAAGTGGGAAGGCAATATGAGAAGGCATAACCATATTTAGTGGACAACTGTGCTAGTGCAGAGAGCTTATCCTGGCCTAGCCCCATAATACCAGAACTCCTTCCAAACAAACCTTGATTGTTCTGTCCACAACCATACACAAAACCTGGTAGTGTTTCTGATGGGCTTAGGCTCAACACATCTTGGCTCAAATAACCAACTGAGAATGACGAATCACCATATGCTGCCCTGTACACACAAGCACCAGATCCAATCTCACAAGCAGGATCATTGAGGGTGGACTCCTTGAGAGAGGAACATGTAGAGGAAGAGCATGGAAATTTCTTGTAGGTTTTGGATCTGGAAGAATTGAATAAAGGGTCAACTTGGGGATGGCAATAAGCTTTACAAGGTTGACATTGAATCCATGAGAGAGAGCTTCCTGTGTCCACGATAATGCTAAAGTACTGAGGAGGTGTCCCAATTCCTAATTTTACGTAGTAATTGCCTGACCCTATTGACAATCCTGATTTCAATGGCGTGCTCACGAGTTCTGGTTTGATGTTTCTCAAGTTCTTGTCGGCCAATCTTGATCGAATGGCCTCGACTCGCTCCTCGTCCTTTTCAAGCATTTTGGGTGGAAAAAATGGCAAACTTGATGTTGCTGAATGGTTGAGCTGAGCCTGAACATGGCGTAATTCAAGGTGAATGCTAGCTTGTTTTGGGTTCAAGCCGTTATCTGCAAAACCAACCATTTACAGGTTCAACATTCTTATATTAGATGAATATTAGTGAAGAAGAGAGCAAGACCCCACCTTAGCTCTTTAAAAATAGTCCTGGTATCAGTTCATCCACACTTCTTATATTACACTACTTCTGGAAAATATGATTTTATTTGAATCTTGTCGAATATTTGTTGTTTTAAAGACTGTACAGTATGGTTTTATTACTTAAGAGGGATGAAGTATGAACAAAATTAAGCTTTCGTGTACTAAATATAGCCTTCCTTTTCAGGGGGAAAAAAACCAAAACACAACTTTCTTTGACCACAAATCAGATATTGCAGATATTGTTATTCTTGTAAATGACATAAAGGAGCCCTTAATTGTGGTTCTTGTTCATGAACCAATAATAAGAGGAAGCTTTTGCTAATTCTCCATAAAAAACGCAATCAGATGATTAAACTTCAATATCTGCTAAGTGGGCCATTTACAAGGTCAGTACGGTGCCAAGAAACATTCAGAAATTCAACGCTGTTTACTATTGATCAGAGAGATACAAACAAGAGACTGCAAATATGTGTGAGCGTAGAAAGGAAAGCATATAGATTCATGAAAGAGACATGCCTTGAAATTGAACAAGGGAAGATGCTAGCAGAAGATGAGCAGAGAAAAGCAGAAAACAGAAGAACTCCATGATTGTTCTTCACACATTGAGAGATTGAACTTATGTAAATGCAACTTGTTAAGTGTCTTCTCACGGTCACATGTTACATCCAGTCTATCTATCTACTTTTTAAGAAGATTTGACACTTTGTCCTACCAATGATGCAACTCCAAATACAGTACAGAAATCAAAAGGTCTTTCAGTGTCACGTTTTAGAGGTTATTTCCCCCCCTCCAACTAATAAAAATACAAGTCAAGTTAATTATGAAAAATATATATAAACGTGCTGAATGAGAGTTTCTATACATATATTTTCTTTAAAAAAAAAACTGATAGGATGGATTTCAGAGATTGAAAGTAGGGTAGGTTCTAGTGAGTAAACATATGTGTTCTTCTTTTAGGCCAATCATCCATTCTGTTAAAAAAAAGAGAGATCAATTATCTATTTTTTAATATATTCTTTAGGGTGAGCTATTGGTTAAAACACATGTTTTAGCTTATCAGACTTCCCTCTTTTTTTTTTTTATAATAAAAAGTTTAGGTAAATTGAGTCCAAGAGTTTACTAAGATTAGGGTATACTTTCAAGCTCAAAGAGTATTTATACATATATTTATTAATTACTTATTAATAAAATTTTTATATTAATAGTAAAATTTGAAACCACATCCTTATAATTAGGGACCAAATTTTTGTTAACGGACAAACCTTTGGTGAATTTTTCCTACTTTTATCTGAAGTCTTGAATTAACCCAGGTGTACTATCAGTGCAAAGAAAACAAATTATTTTTTTTATGAAAATATCTAATTTAAATTTTGGTTTTGTTTTTCTGCATAAGTTTGAAGGGGGGAAAAATGACATGGGTGTGTCGGCAGGATGGCATTTATTAAGGCTGATAAAAGTCAGAAGCGCATGGTCTCTCTTCTCAATTATTCATTATTAATTCATTTCCACAAGAAGACTGAAAGAGACGTGCAACTATAATCTGCAGAGACTAGCCTGGAAACTTTCATTTACACAGATAGGCCCCAAGAATTGCCTCGGCACACAAACTTTATATCACACACAAGTTAATGGTTAGCATGTCCAGTTACATTGTGACAGCGCCACGTCTCTCACTCTTAAAAAAAAAATATTATTCAAATTTGACATTGGCGTATTTATTTGTATGTATATGAAGGGAGAGGAGTCCCTCTTTTTTTTTTCCCACATTTTCCTTTTACTTTTTCAATCTTTATCATTCATATCAATTTATTAAATAATTTTTTTAATTATAAAATTAATGAATATGAAGAGTCAAGATTGGAGAAATGGAGAAAAAAGAAGGATAAAAAAAAAGGAAGAAACTCATCTCCCATAGGTTAGTACAGAATTTGTTTCCCTAGTCATCCCAATAATAAGCACATGAGATCAAATATTAACCATCCAGATTTTCTAGACGCTTGAAATTTAAAATATTATTATATATTTTTCTATTATATTTAGTAAAATAAAAATTTATAAAAATTATAAAATAATTATAATAAATTTTTTATTTTTAATTTGATCTAGATTTATTTGGATTATATAAGGTACATCGGGATAATCAATATACATTAATTATAAAAATTTTAATATTAAATTAGATCCTCTAAATTAAATTTAGACTAGATTAAAAATAAAAAATTTATTACAATTATTTTATAATTTTTATAAATTTTTATTTTAATAAATATAATATAAAATAATATTTGAGATATATGAATCGTTCATATTAAAATTTGAATGGTTGAAATTTCATTTTAAAGATGAGCACATGATGCTTATGATTAGGATGAGCTAGGAAACCAATCGCGTGTGGGTACTCCTTTCTTGCTGGAATGGATTTTGATAGGGGTATTTTTTAATTAAAAAGAAAAAATTAATGCGCTACACGAAGGCAAATAATAATAATAATAATAATAATAATAATAATAATAATAATTGATTTTTTTCCAATACGATAACTAACTGATTCAGGATTTGATATTCTATATGCAAGAAATGTTTTGTTGTTAATTAGTTCATTAATTCATTACCAGAATCATGACATATCTCTGTAATCTATAATTCGGAAAAATTAATTAAACATAATTTAAAGAGTTATTTGCATAAAAAAAATTGATGGGAGTTCATTTAATCGGATGTTGTACTTCCATTAATAGAGATAAAAAAATTTATTAAAAGAAAATTATTTATATTTAACCTAAAGTAAAAGAGAGTTCGCCAAATGTTAACTTTTAAATTCTAGAAAAAAATTACGTATAAATTTTAACTAAAGAATTTATGTACAAATAAATTTCGTAAATATGTAAAAATGCAATTAGACACCTTAGACATTTCAGGCAAAAATCCCTGAGGATATATGGTTTTATTTTTCATGGAAGTGAAAAACTTATATTGCTCCTCTCAACTTTACACATGTTTAATTATAAATTACGAAATTTCAGTTATGAATTAGTGATAACTAGTAAATCACCCGTGCATTACACAAGATGTTATTTTTATAACTTCTTTTGATGGTTACATGGTGTAAAATATTTACATATTGAGTAGTTATATGCCTAAAATAATAATAAGACGTAACTAATATGTAAATGATTAATATTTAAGAATGACGGTGAAAAAATCATGGTGATGACGAGTTACGTAAATTTTAAACTATTATTTGATCTCAAATAATTTGTTAACACATATTGCATATGAAGGCAACCACTTATTACACTAAATAAATAGTCGACAAAAAAAATTATGACATCTCACTGAACAAGCAACTATCATGCATAATTTAGCTAGATTGTTGAAAATCTCCTTGTAGACTACGTTCAATGTAACATTTATGGACTTGCCATCTGCATCAAGGATTAATATCTTTAACCCTTTCCTACTCCGTACTCGAGATATAGCCACATACAACTGGCCATGTGTAAAGATAGATCTTGGTAAATATAGCCCAATGCTAAGTAATCTCTAACCCTGGCTTTTGTTTATGGTCATAGCAAAAGACAATATCATTGCAAATTGTCTCCTACGAAGAGTGAATAATAGTCGAGAGTCAAAAGGTGACATATCAATCATTGGAATATAAATCTTTGTTCCAGCATTCGATCCTAAAATTATTTATGCTTCTAGAATATGTTTTTTTGCTTGAGTGACAATTAGATGCATGTCATTACAAAGACTAAGAGATTTATCAATATTTCTTAAGAGCATAATAGGAGCTCCAACAAGTATTAGCTCATGGTTTAGGAGGCCAGACATTGATATCAAGTTTAAAAACTCAGTGCAATATAAGTCATCCATTAAATCAATATTTCCATCTTGCTTACACACAATGTCATAGCTTAAATACAACATCTCATTTCCGAGAATCATAGATAACATATATTGATTAACCTCATTGACTATAGATAACGTAGGTGCTAATACGATCCTATCTTTAAAATATGACAGGTCATTGAGATGACCAACAACATCTGGATACATAGAATCAACTATGTATTTTATAGGTTCCCTAGGATATTATAGTAAAATGTCATCTGAAATGGTGATTTCTATCTCTCCATCATTATTTTCCACAACTATTCCATCCTCTATAGCAATGATCCATTGTGCAAAATCATTAGGCTTGTTATTCATATCGATAGAATTTGTTAGCAATAATCTCATGTTCTTGGTTAGAGTCATTAATCCGCAATCCTTACATATATAGGATGAGTTAATGGATGCAAAATTTAGAAGTGATTTATTAGTTTGACCATTTATAAAATACTTTTGCCTATTTTGATTGATGAGTAAAAATTAAAATTTATAAAATTTATAAAATACTTATATATCGTGTTATGGCTACTCCTCCATAACATGATATATAAGTAGCATGTAAAATAAAAAAAAATGCATCAATATAATTAAAGAACAAAGCAGTATATAGTACGCCAGCATTATACCACGGATTTTTATTCATAATTAAGTTGGTCCAATATAAAGATTAAAGATTAAAATACCTATAAAAATGCTAAATAGTTACTCCCTCTATTAAAAAATATAAGGTATTTTTTAAGAAGTTGAATGTTAAAAAATATAAGGCATTTTTAGTCTTTCAAGATGTAATCATTACCTTTTTTTCTCAAAAATGCCCTTATTGATAGTGACTTTATATTTATTATAGGGTGTTTAATAGGGGTAAATATAAAAAAAGAGGATTAGCTAAAAAGTAGGTAACTACTTTATTGGAGGGTAGATTTGGTTAAAAATGTCTTATATTTTTTAGCAGAGAGAGTAACTAATAAATCATTCTTAATCTTAAACAAAATATCCTATCAAAATGTCATGAAATAATATCTAAAAACATCTAATAAATAAATAAATTAGCTATGATGAACACAACGACGACAAGATGATGTACTACTATCAGGACTATCTTCAAGTACATATTTACGATAGTAAGCATGCTTGAAGTAGTCTATGTTAGGGTGGTCAAAATTTCATAACACACAAGTTGTGTAACCTCCTCCTATATCCATTCAATATAAAAAAAGATTACAGTGTTACCATTATCTCACATCATTCACAATAATCAAATTTCATTTTTAAAAGCTTCAGCCAAAGACTTGTTTTATAAAATTGATCAGTTCATGGCATAATCAGAGAAAAACACAGTAAAAGTAAATCATACACACCTCAATTACATAGTGGACATAACCCACCAGCATTCCTATCTTAATCGCATGCAATTCAACACACAAATAGAACTAAGGTTTTGGTCCGTGTGCTGCGACGGATGGTTAGTGCACCGCGACATGTGGCACAGAGCCACATGCTTGCCTTGTCTGTGTCGTGCGCCGCGGCATGTGTCACCATGCATCGCAGCACGCTTGTCCAGATTTATACTGTCATTTTGATAACAAAAATGACAAACTTTTGATGTGCACCAATTTCTCATACAATATCAGATCAGAGTGATTCAAGCACCCACACGAAACTTAGCTCGTATACTAACTAATGAGATAGGTTTGGACACGATCTAACAGTCCGATCAAAATTTGAACACCTGGGTGCAAGAAGTCACTTTTTCTGAAAATTTTGCTCACTCAAGCGCTTAAATCGATTCCTTACTCTTAT